TGTTAACACAATCCACTGTGCCGGTACCTTCATCCCAGTACCTCTGTCCTCTGCTCTGGATGCCTTGGAAGGTTTTGTAGTGACTTGAGAGCAGCAGCCGATGAGTGCTCCAGGGCCTTTCCAGGGCTTGACCGTGGGACCGTGGTTCCTTATGGCTGTGGTGCTCAATGGGTGCCTTTGAGCACCTTCAGCTGGAGCAGCAGCATGCAGGATTCTCAGAAGGTAGCCCTGAGGAGCTCCTGCAGAGCCCCTGGATTGCTTCTTGGCTCCCTTCAGATTTGAACCCTGAAAGTGGCAAATAGTTCCTCTGACTGGTTTCCCTCTCTTGACTCCTTTTCAGGAAGTTTGCACAGCACTGCTGATCACTGCCTACACATCCCTGTCCTGGAAAGACACCTTGTCCTGCCAAAGAACCACAACACAGCTTTGCTGGCCGCTGCTCAAACAGGTACCTCTGGGAGGAAGAAGGGCTTAGTTCTGGCAGGGTTGGGAGAGGAAGCACTTGAACGTGGTGCCAAGTGTGACTGCTTCACCCCTGGGCACCTCTCTTGGGCAGACTGAGCTGCTGAGGAAGGGCAATCATGTATCAGTATCCTGCCCCCGTGCTGACAGTGCCTTTTCCCCAGGTGCTTCAAGGAAACCTTCTGCCCGATGCCGTGTCCTGGTTCTTCGCAAGTGTGCTGAAAGGCTTACAGACACACGGGCAGCACAATGGCTGCATGGCAGCTCTTGTCCACCTGGCTTTCCAAATCTACGAGGCCTTGGTGAGAAATGCTGCTCTTTATCCAGATGCCAGGTTGGCTGGAGAGTGGTGGAAAATTAATCCCATGCCTGCTTGTGGGGGGCAGAGGAGTTATTGTTCCCCCAAGGAGGGCAGGGCTGTTTCTCTAGAACTCTAACAGAACTGTGTTAACCATACTTCTCCCTGCAGCGCCCTCGCTACACTGAGCTGAAGGCAGTGATGGAGCAGATCCCAGACATCCAGAGGGACTCTTTGGAGCAGTTTGATTCAAAGCTCCTCAACCCAACACTGCAGAAGGTGGCAGACAAGCGCCGGAAGGATCATTTCAAGCGCCTCATCACAGGTTGCATTGGGGTAGGTGATAATCCTGAAGGAAAATGAACCTGTTTCATTTCACACCTGTATGCTGTAGAGTGATGGGGTGGCCAGCCTGCCTATCTGCCTCTCCCCAGCTGCCTCCCTTCCCAGCTAGGAGGCTGTTGTAGCATGTTCTCAGTGTTTATTGTGTCTCTCTTTAACTTGGAGGTACAGCAGGGATGGCAGCACAGGCTGAGCAGCCCCTCCAGCAATGACTTCTCACTGAGAGGCAGGGGATACCTTCGAAAAGGGTGCCTGGGAAACAGGGTGTTAGAATGTTTGAATGAAGCTGCTAGGTGGCTGCTGGGCTCTTGTGAGGGTGCTAGTGTTCGAGCCTGGTGGCACTGAATTAGCAGCTGGTGCACTGGTGGTTACCCAGTGTCCCGACACTTGGGAGGGACCAGGCCCAAGATGCCCCAAAATGAGTACATGGAATTTGGGCCTAGGGACTGCTCAGAATCTGGGGTCTGCCTCTGATCTGCAAGCAGGCTACCCCTGAGCTGAGTAGGGGGATGAAGGGAGTGATGACTGATGTCTGCCTGTCTGTCCTCTGCAGAAGCCCCTTGGGGAGCAGTTCCGCAAGGAGGTTCATATCCGGAACCTCCCATCTCTCTTCAAAAAAGTCAAGCCATCACTGGAGCCGGATGTGCTAGAAAATGAGGATGGAGAGAGCCTCACTGTACTCTTTGAGTCCTGAGCCTGGGACACTGCAACCGTCTCCTCTCCTACCTTATATTTTGTCTCTCCTCATAGTAAGCACATTAGATTCTTCTCATCATCGCCTCCACAAGCATTCATCTGAATAAAGCCCCTTATGGGTCCTGTCCCATTCTCCTCCTTACACTGGGATGGGACCTGTGGTGGCATATGAACCAGTCTATTAAGCTTTCCCTGCTTCCTTCCCCTCCACTGATGAGCATCTTTAGGCCTGTGCTTCTCTGCAAGGTGGGAGCTGAGCCCATAGACTCCGTTAGGTAAAACCTGGTCATCCTGTAGACTTGGGTGATTTTTGCTCCACCTCTTCATCCCTTGGGGTTTAGGATTTATGCAAAGGGCAGAGTAGTGCGCTGTGTGGAAAGGGGTTACCCTTCTTTTCCTCTGGGCGCCAGCAGCCAGGCTTTGTAGGGAGACATCGGACACTCCTGTCATGCCTGTCAGCACTTGTCCCCAGTGGACTGGTGTTCTGATGGATCGGATCCGTTTCCCTCCAGGACGCTGAGCCTTGGGCTGAGGGCTGTGTGCCAGGAAGCCTAGCAGTGCTCTAGGATCTCCCTCGAGATCGGCCTTTCTAAGGTGCAGCTGCTCTCTAGAAAGAGGCAGACGTTGGCATACATATATATACATACATACATGTATATATATGATCATAGAGCTTGTTCTACCCAGAGCCAAACCGAAGGCTTTTCCTTTGTGCCAGCCTTTCTTGGACATCTCTCAGGGGGAGCAGGACAGTTTGTTTTTTTTTATCTTTTTACCATGCCCTGTAGACTAGAACATGGCCAGTGCAGGGTACACAAAACCTGGACCAATATCTGAAGCACCTGCAAACCAAAAGGGATCTCCTTACCCTGTTGCTGTGGAGGTGACAGTAGCCTGTGTTTTTACCCAGTCTGGTACTTCTTGGAGAATTGTACAGTGGGGCTGGCGGGGTGGGTTTATACTGCAGTTTACAGGGGGGAGTCAGGTCAGAAACTGGGTTTTAGATGAGGTGGGACTCTATCAAGCCACTCCAGTCTACAAAGCTGGTGGTTCTTGACATGGCAAATGATTCACTTGACCTGTCCTGGTGTTAGCACAGGAGCTGGGAGGGTCTGTCCACAGCTATCTGGCAGTTTTGCCAGCCAGGCGACAGAACAAGTGATAAACTGTGGAGGGCAGTTAAGGTGGTGTCTCCACCTGGCCAGACTGGATAGAAGACCTGGGGTTGGGAGTACAGAAAGGAAGAGCAGGCCTTGGGAATCCACTCACCTTCCTGCCCTTCCTGTGCCACCAGCACCCTCCACTTTCCTCCTGGCCTCAAATGTTTTTAACCTCTGAGCTAACATGGCTCCTGGCTCTAGCAAAGGCTGGGTGTATTTATTGTGTTGTGATATTTTTAACATTCTGTGACTTCATGCTAGACACAAGGGGGTTTTTTTAAATGGTTTTTAGAACCTTTTTTGTAGGAATGTTTAAATCCGAAGCTGTCTCTGAACTGGTTGTGTTACACCTCTGGATGTCAGTAAAGCTATTCCAGTTTCATACACATGGCGTCATGTTTCATTTTTACCCTTCTGTTTATTTTGGCAACATCTGAGACCTTCCCTGCCCAGACTGCCTTCCTATTCCTAGTTCAGCACTTCTTATTCCAGCTACCGAAAAGGGAGCACCTTTGCTGGTAGTCAACATATATTATCAGGGAGAGGATGAACCACTCCAGACTACTAACACCTGCCTGGATTTTTACAGTGTAAGTAACTATATTCCAGTGAAACAGGTACAGAAGAAGTACAATTTGCTACCCTAAATTCTACTGTTGTGAGAACCGACTTAAGCAACTGGGACACAACAGTACTCCCACCCCTTCTCTGAAGTTCCACACCCTTCATCTGCTTGTTCAGAGCAACTTTCACAAGAACTACCTCGTGCTCACAAACAATAGTGCTCGCCACTGAGATGAGCATGTAAGTTCTCCCAGGCTTCCCTGGGTGAAGCCAGGCCTTTGACTGTCACTTGCCCTCCACTATCCAGTTCTGCTTCAAGGTCAACCCACTGTACATTCAGTCACTGGAAGGGAGAACAGTTATCTAGCATCCAGGGAGAAATGCTCGAGATGTTTGAGAAGGGGCAGTCAGGCTGAGGAAGTTGGGGCTGTTCAGCCTGGAGAAGAGAAGGCTGCATGGAGACCTCATAGCAGCCTTCCAGTATCTGAAGGGGACCTATAGGGATGCTGGGGAGGGACTCTTCATTAGGGACTGTGGTGATAGGACAAGGGGTAACGGGTTAAAACTTAAACAAGGGAAGTTTAGATTGGATATAAGGAGGAAGTTCTTTCCTGTTAGGGTGGTGAGGCACTGGAATGGGTTGCCCAGGGAGGTTGTGAATGCTCCATCCCTGGCAGTGTTCAAGGCCAGGTTGGACAAAGCCTTGGGTGACATGGTTTAGTGTGAGGTATCCCTGCCCATGGCAGGGGGGTTGGAACTAGATGATCTTAAGGTCCTTTCCAACCCTAACTATTCTATGATTCTATGGTTTTAAACCCCACCTTTGCACAGAGAAGCCCAGTACTGCATCAGAGAATCATAGGCTGCAAAGGAATGGTAAAGCCCATCTAATCCACACACCTTCCACCCTGCTGTGGGCAGGGATATCTTTCACGAGATCTGGTTGCTCAAAGCCCAGTCCAACACTTCCAGGAATGGGGCATCCACAGCTTTTGTGGGCAACCTGTTCCAACATTTTGCCACCACCCTCCCTGTATAAAATGTCTTATGTACAATTTCAGTCTACCCTCTTCTAGTGTAAAAATGTTGTTGCTTGTCCTGTCACTACCGGTCCTGGTAAGAAGTCTTCCTCCATGCCCCCCCCGGTATACTGAAAAGCCACAGTAAGGTCTCCCTGGAGTCTCCCCAACTCTTTCTTCACAGGAGAGGTGGCCCAGCCCTCTTGACAATACAGCCTTTTATCTACCACATTAACTACCCCAGAGATGGTCTGAGATACCTTCAACAGTCCTGCACTGATACTGATGTGTTAAATCTCACTGACCTGCTGAGAAGTCCTTTACTACATTGCCATGTCAGTCCTCTTCACATGCTGCATGCAATCTAAAATGAATACTTGCTATTCATCTTTAGACCTGCAGCCACTTTCTTTTCTGTGTATTAGTCTCAATTGTGAACAGCACAGAAGGAGACCGCTGTAAAGAAAAGCCTTTATTTTAGTGCATCTCCTCACTGAGGCTCGTTACTAACAGCAAATTCAAAGTGGTCCTAGGACTCTTAACAAGCCCATCTTGCCCCTCTTGCCCTTGCAAGAGGCATCACCCTGCAGGCAGGTGGCAGAAGCCCAGAACAACAGTGCAGGGATATGCTTCCCAGCCTGCTCACTCCATAGGTACTGAGTCCAGCTCATTCAGGAAGCGCTGACACTTTCCCATCAGTATCTTGATGGCTTCACTCACCAGCACATCTGGAGGCAAGATACCCGTTGACTCCACTGAAACTGCACAGAGACACAAGTCAGCACAGCCACTAGGCAGCTTCAGCCTATACCTGGCTCCAGCATTTCTGTCCCTCATCTTCCCTTACACCACACTTCCAACAACCCTCATCATCATCACAGGCAGAGAAGAGGTTACACTTGCAGGCAGGAAGCACACATTAAATCCCAAAGCAACACCAAACTGCAACCTCAGTAGCTGCTCAGTGGAATACGAATGTAGGAATGCTGATGATATGGCGGGTGAGGGGAAGGCAGAGCCCCAGCTATATGTGCTGGCAGTCTCTGCTTGCTTGGACAAAACACAGCAGGGCTCTCTGTTCTGTGGAGCACGGGGCACTCACAGATGTAATGATTCCGTACTCTTGCCAGGCGCACAAGGTTTTTCAGACTCTCATGTCGGAAAACTTCTCTGCTGAACGTGTCCAGCCGTGCATTGGCTACTCTTGCCACCTTTTTTCCTACGGGGGAAAAGATGAAACAAGATGGGTGCCTGCAGCAGACGGGCTCCTTGTGGACACAGCAGGCGTTTACCCCTCAAACATGCACGCCCCATCAGCAAAGGCAGTGAAGCCACCACTATAAGGAATTGGCATGTCCCCAAAAGGAAAACTTCAACCTGACAAAACTCGTCTCTTAAACAGTTCCAACCCAAACACAAAGCTTGTATGTGCCCTATCCCTGGGCAGCACACAAGACGTCTTTTCCACAAGAGCAAACTCTACCCAGGCTTATAAACAGCACTGGAAGCTGCAGACAGCAGCTGCAGAGCTCTGAGGACAGGCACCCAATGCCTTAGCATTTCAGGGAGATCCCAGTTTGTGACCCAACACATCTGCATGTGACAACCACTGATCCATAAAACCAGGTTCAGAATAGCACAAAAGGTTGCTGATCAGCAAGTCAACATTACAATGTGGTTTTGTCTCTACAAGGTTTGACTCTGGTCTCTATGTGGCCTGTGCTAAAGCTTGTAAAGAACAAGGCACTCAGAGCAGGAAGAAAGTACCCTTGATATTCTGGATTTCAATGACTCCAGGGGAAAAGCACTTCTGCAACATCTCAGCTGCCTCATCCTCAATAGGCTGCAGGAGCGTAATGTCAGGAAGCAGTCGATAACTAGCTGTGGCCACAGGAGAAAACTTGGCATGATCCTTACCTGCAAGAAGAGTTAAGCATCAAAGATGAAGGCAGGCCTCAGGGGAGTACAAGGATGCCAGGGCCCAAGTTCATGGGGGAAAGCCAGTTCTCCACCCTTCCCCTTCACACAGCTGTGCCCTAGTCCAAGCACTCACATTCGTCCTCCCACTTGCCCCAGGACTAACCTATACCCTTGACACAGTGCATAAGCACATCTATTTCCTGGCCAGGTCGCAGCAGTGCAATGAGGATGTCATCATGAACAGGTCGAAAGTCAGCATCTGGAAAGAGGTCTGTCTGATTCCCCAAGGGCACCCATGTCATGTGTTTACTGTACACTGCAAAGAGAAGCCACAGCATCAGCCAGTGCTGTCTCAAAACAGATCACTGACCTGGACAGGACTGGAGATGGCAAAAAAGTTCAGCAAAATGAGGGTATCAGATCTCTCAGCTCACAGGGCTGAGAAAACAGACCAATTCCTGTATCCCAAGACCAAAAAAAGGGAAAAAAAAAAAAAAGCATCTATTTTAGGAGAGCTCTCACCTTTGTGATTGAAATATAATTCATTAGGATCAGATGATTCCTTGGCTGCCTGAGAGTTTCGGCTACATTTTATTTTCAGCTGGAACTGCAGAGTATCAATTTCTGTGCCTTCCTCATCTCCTGGGAAGGGGAGAACAGCATGAGCCTCTGTGGAATCTGCTCAGTTTACATGACCCTCCAATATTTCTGTTTGATCCAAGACTCTCACCTTGGTTTCTATATTCGAAGAGTCGTGGGTCTGCTCGTATAGGGATGAGGCCCAAGCGATGAGCCAGAATTTCATCCTGCACAATGGATGTGTTGTTGTACACAAAGACTTTCTCTACAGCCATTGTTGGCACCTCAGGAAGACAGGAGATCAAGTCAACATGACAGCTGAATTACACACCAACACAGCACCAAGCCAGTGTCCCTTGTCTTCCATAAATAACTGCCCTGCAAACTATTTTCAGTGGCATTTCTGCCAAACCAGGCTGCCCAATACACTTACAGCCATTTCCCTGGCAGTGTTCAAGGCCAGGTTGGACAGGGCTTTGAGCAACCTGGTCCAATGGAAGGTGCCCTGCCTGTGGCATGGGGATGGGCACTGTATGAGTTTTAAGGTCTCTTCCAACTCAAACCATTCTGTGGCCATTCTATGATTCCTTAGGTTGGCTTTCTTTAAACAGATGATCACAAGAGGTGAAGGGGCAGACTGATGCACAGTCACTACCAACAACTCCCTTAGAAGCAACAAGCACTACTGGCCGTGCTGCTAAAGCTCTTACTCCCTAGGCTCCTGGCACGAGTGCAGAACGAACCTGCGCTTCTCTTTCAATCCCAGAAGCTGCCCGCAAGGGCTGACGTAAGGCAGGGCCTTCCCCGCTCCCCATCATGCAAGCGTCCCCGCCACAGCTCCCAGGCCGCCACCCCCGGGCCGGGCAGCAGCAGTACCTCGGCGAGCAGGATGCGGCGGAAGGCGTTGGCGATGGCGGCGTCGATGCCCACCATGTCGAACTCTAGCGCGTCCCCCTCCTCGCGGATCACGTCCACGCGGAACGCCTGCAGGGGCCGGGCGCGGAGGGTCACCCAGGGCACGGCGGGGCACCCCCCGCCCCATCACCACCACGGGCACCCACCTGCTCGAAGCGCCGCTGGTCCCACGCGTCATCGTAGCCGGAGTAGTTGCCGGGGAAGTCGGTGGTGTGGACCTGCGAGGAGGCAGACAGGCGGGGCCGTGAGGGGGGTCGGGGATCCCGCACCGCGCCGCGCCGCCCCGAACCAGCGGCTCACGTTGCGGACGCCGAACTCGCCCAGCACCACGCGGTCCCGCATCTCCTCCGTGCGCCGCTTGGCCGCCATGGCCGCCGCCACCGCCAGCGCGGGGCGCAGGGGGCGGTGCTCCCCGCCACGTGACTGGTCTCCGCCCGCCCATGCGTGGCTTCGCTGCTCCAGGGGAGCGCGGAGTTCCCTGGCCGCCCGGCCCCGGGTCCCTGTCGTCGCCTCGCCGCCCCGCACCCCTCACCCGGCCGCCTTGTCGCTCCCCCGCCGCTCTGCACCCTTCCCCGCCCTGCGCCACACACAAGATGGCGGCACCGCTCACCCTCCCGAAGCGCGGCCTCGCGAGAGAGTGGGCGCCTTTCCGCCGCCAACGTCACATCCGGGTGCTGCGGGGCTGGCGAGCGGCTGCGGCCAGCGCGGGCACCATGTCCGCGGCGGCGGCGGCGGCGGCGGCGGGCGGCAGCAGGGGCGGCACCGCCGGCGACTGGGGCGGCTTCGAGGACAACATGCAGGTGGGGCCGGGCTGCGAGTGGCGGGGGTGTTGTGGGGCCCCACAGCGGGGGTGCCGAGCGGGCGCTGACGTTGTCTGCCCCGGCGCAGGGTGGCGGCTCCGCCGTCATCGACATGGAGAACATGGACGACACATCGGGCTCCAGCTTTGAGGACATGGGGGAGATGCACCAGCGCATGAAGGAGGAAGAAGAGGAGGAAGGCGAGGCGGGGGCCGCGGAGGAGGAGGACGGGGAGTTCCTGGGCATGAAGGGGCTGCGGGGCCAGCTGGGCCGGCAGGTGGCTGATCAGGTGAGCGCGGCCCCGGGCTGCCCCGGGAGCACCCTGCCTGCCCGGCCGCCAGCCCGCTGCCAGCTGCCTTTTGTCCGCAGATGTGGCAGGTGGGGAAGAGGCAAGCCACCAGGGCCTTCAGCCTTTACGCCAACATCGATATCCTCCGGCCCTACTTCGATGTGGAGCCCATCCAAGTGCGAGCCAGGTGGGCAAGGCCCGGCCTGGGCTGTCTCCACCGGGGGGCAGGGAAAGGCTAGCTGCCCCCACAAAGACGACAACATGGGGCGGGTTGCCACCCTTGCAGGAAGGCTCAGATGCCTGTGTCCCAGTGTCCTTAATGGGGGGCCCGAGGTGGGTTGGCAGCCTGGTCGCTTGTCATTCAGCATTGCTGCTCAGGGAGGAAAAAAGGGCTTTGGGCACATTATGTGGCTTCTCTTGGGTTTGCATCATGGCTATGTCCAAAAAGGCAAAGTTCTGTCAGGCACCATGAAAAAAGGCTCCTTGCTTCCTCTTTGTCAGTCTCTCATCTGCAAGTGGATCCCTAAATGTTTTCACTGAATCCCCTCCAGCAAGGTTAACCCACTGATGGTCAGGTTTTTTCCTTTAGTTACTTTATGTTACCCTTTAGAAGGACGTCTCTGTCCCACAACAGAAAACACTGGTAACGGGTGTTTGGCGTCTTTTACTTTTGAAGTATTTTGTTAACCATTCTCTTGTCCTCCCTGCTCCTGATGTCATTCCCTGCCTTGCTGTGATGCAGACTGATGGAGTCCATGATTCCTGTGAAGATGATTAATTTCCCACAGGTGAGTTCCCTTTTGCTGAATCAGACTCCAAGGCCAAGTGAACATCCACATACGCCTCGTAAAACTGAAGTAGTCCATGTTATTAAGGACCTTAGTTTGTTAGGTGCTCACTTCCCCAAAAATGTTGGTAAACCCTTTCCTGTAGTAGTCCCAAACCTGAGTGTGCTACCTTTAGTGCTTGTACAGTTCCAGAGCTCTGGGTTTCATATGTCCCAGAGTCCTTGTCACACAACATATTCTGCCTGGCTCCTGCCAGCCATGACCCTGCTGTTCCTTCTCAGGCAGCTAGGTGATAAGCTTCGAACAAGGCAATTCTCGCATCACTTGTGGTGGGGAGCCTGGTATTCCAGAGCACTAACTAAGCCCTCCCTGATCTGTCTCCTCTTATAGAAGATTGCAGGCGAGCTGTATGGACCGCTCATGTTGGTTTTCACGCTGGTGGCCATCCTTTTGCATGGAATGAAGACCTCGGACACCATCATTGTACGAGTCTCAGTGATAAGTTGTGGTTTGACTGGGCTCTGGATTGTTACAATGACACTAGAAATGGAGAGGAAACCTCTTCCATGACTGAATTAGCATCTTGCTGGAAAGCAGATTGATTTCAAGAAGAACCTGTTGGTTTGGGGATGGGAGGAAAGATGGGGAAGTCTTGATGCTTTGCTGCTGGGAGAGCAGGGTGTTTAAAATGTGTCACCCTGAACTTAGAAAGGGTCTGGGACTCTCTGAGGTGGAATTTGGGTGCTGACAGGTCACTTCGAGTTCTCATCCTCAGAATTCTGTCTCCACAGAGGGAAGGCACACTGATGGGCACAGCCATTGGCACCTGCTTTGGTTACTGGTTGGGCGTCTCATCATTCATCTATTTCTTGGCATATCTGTGCAATGCCCAAATCACAATGGTGCAGATGCTGTCACTATTGGTATGTACAGATGGAGCTGCCCCAAGATGTGTGGTATTCTAGCACAAGCTCTTCCCAGAGAACAGGAAAAGTCCTTGTAAATAGGTCGTCCCAGGTAACTGCACTGGGACAATCTGGAATTCCAGGATGCTCTTCTGACTTGCCCCATCCTGGGCACAGTGATAGCACAAAGAGTCAGTTCCTTTGTGCAGTTCTTTGGCTTTGCACTTCCTGATTTGAGAGCATGGTGGTACAAAACCCAGGAGATTTCAATTTTTCTGGAATCAGAGGCTCCTCTGTTTCCCAAGTTGTTGCAATCTCTGACATCCCTGTGAATCTGAGAAATCATCCGGGTATGAGGCGCTTTTAAAATTATTGTGCTGGTTGACTCTTTGGCCTTGAATGAGTGTTTTAGGAAGCTTTGCTTTGGTGAAGCGTTGCAGGAATAGGCTGCTGGTGCTCTTGATCAATGGCCCTTTGTGTGGGACTGATGCTTCTAACATGGATATTTTTGTTTTGTCAGGGCTATGGTCTTTTTGGACACTGCATCACCCTCTTTGTCACCTATAATATCCACTTCCACTCCCTCTTCTATATCTTCTGGTTGGGTGTTGGTGGACTCTCTACACTACGAATGGTAAGGGACAGGTAGAATCGGGTCCTCTTCTGGGGACAAAAAAAGGGAGGGAAATGTTGTTTGCATTGTGTTCCTTGGGCCTGGCAATTCATTTCACAGCCAGTTAGGCTGCTATGAAGAGCAGCCTGACACTCCGATGTATGAAGGTGACACTACAACTGCAGGAGGTTTACTCCCTTACAGCTATGGGGAGTCCTGTCTGAACATCCTGTACTCCTGGTGAGACCAGGCAGGGTTCACCTGCACAGAACAAAATTAGATTACTCTGAATTTGTTGGTGCAAACTGTGAAAAAGGCTCTGAGCAGTGTTCCAGTGGCTGTCACTACTTGGCCTACCCTCCTGCGTGCTCCTGACTGCAGTGCCAGAGAGGCAGCAGCTACCTAGTCTCTGATCTCCACCTCTTTTGTAGGTTGCTGTGCTGGTGTCACGTACAGTGGGGCACACCCAGCGGCTCATCTTGTGTGGGACCCTTGCTGCTCTGCACATGCTTTTCCTCCTCTATCTGCACTTTGCTTATCACAAGGTGGTGGAAGGTAAGCAGGGGAGATAAAAAGACATATCCTCTGTGGGAAGAGGAGCTGCGTTTTACTCTCTCTGAGAGAAAGGATGGACAGTTTGGATCTGACGTGAGGGCATCTGTGCCAGTTTCCAACCCAGGAATGACCACCACTAGCTTTATTAGAGGAAGCTGTCAAAGCAGGGCAGGAAGTAAATGAGGGGTAGTTTCTGTGCACTGAGTTTTGTTGTGACGCAGGATGCTTATTCTTTCCCCACAAGTGACGTGTAACAGCATTGACTGTTCTTGCAGGCAGACGTCCAGTCCTTTCCTGAATCATGCTGAAGTTGGGTTGCTTTTCTCTGATCTGGAAATGTGCCTGTCCACTGGGCTGGGATAGAGTTAATTTTCTTCCTAGTAGATGGTACCATGCTGTGTTTTTCCTTTAGTCTGAGAACAACGCTGGTAACACACCGATGTTTTTAGTTGTTTCTAAGTAATGCTTACTCCAGTCAAGGACTTTTCAGTCTCGAGGACTTTCATTCTCGTGCTCTGCCAGTGAGGAGGGGCGCAAGAAGCTGGGAGGGAGCAGAGACAGGACACCTGATCCAAACTGCCCAAAGGGTATTCCATACTACAGCATGTCATGCCCAGTATATAAACCCGGAAGGGACCAATCACTGCTCGGGTCGGGCTGGGTATCGGTGGGTGGTGAGCAGTTGTATTGTGCATCACTTGTGTTTATTTTTTCCCTTTTAGTTTTATATTCTCTCCCCTTGTTATTTCCCTTATTATTATTGGTATTAGTATTGTATTGTACTTCAGTTATTAAACTGTTCTTATCTCAACCTACGGGTATTAAATTCCTTTGATTCTCCTGCCCATCCCACCTGGGGAGGGAAAAAGGGGGGTGACGCCTTTTTTTATCACGTGTTTTACAACACAGCAGAAGCTGCATTTTCCCCTGTTAGTGCTGCTTACAGGCTCTACATGTTCAGGTTCCCTTTCTGTGTTTCTTCTTGATTTCTCCTAACAAAGTCTCAATCTCCTTTTAAAAAGAAAAAGAAAGTCTTCCTCCACCCCAGCACCAGAGAGTTTCCACATCCCCAAATACAAAATTCTGCAAGCCTCTTTATGTGTTTAGGCAGCCAGATTTGTTGATGATATTTTAGAAAAATCTGCATAATTTGGGGTTGTAGCATAGCTTTACAAGTCCTTTTAGATGTAAATACTGTTCTTTCCTGGATCTGTTCTCACAGAGAAGGTTCTGAGCCCTGATCTGCAACTTTTCAGCAGGTGAAATAGGAGAAAATATACTCCAAGCAATTTTCTGCAAGGCACTCTATGGCTGATTATCAGTCTTGAGAGGGTAATTGACAGGGACTGGAGGACGCTTACATCGGTATGTGTGTTTTCTGCCAAGCATGGGCTGTATTTACATTTCAATGATAAAAATTCCACATTGCACCCTTGCTATAGCTCTTGATGTGAATCTGCAAATGTACCTCAGGATGAAAGCAAACAATCTAAGAGCAGGA